CGCATAATAGACGGCTTGTTCGTTTGACTTTCGGGCAGCACTGACGAAGGCTAAACACTTCTTCATCGAGCCAAACTCTACTTCCTGCCTCAAGTCTTCAAACTAAGGCCCAACGACCACTGATACCCTACTGGTTTTGACACATGACGACGGAAATTATATATTTTTCTGACAACACTAATGAGCTCTGCATCCATAGAAGACTTACAAGATTTACATTAGGTAGAGGGTCATATTATGCTAAATGTATACTATTTTGCCAATGAATTATTTATTTTACACAAGCTAATGTCCCTAATGTACTTTTTGTGTGTGGGTGTGTGTTATTAGAAATGGATAAAATTGCAAAAACTTCTTGAAAACGAAGTATGGTTTCTTAAGGGTTTCAGAACATTTGTTTTAATTTATGTGGCTGAGCTCTACATACAGCAGATCTAATGGTTTTCACGGTACAGGTAACTAGGTTAGGTCTCAGACAGGATGTGTGTAAGCCTCTAATAACTTGAATGGATCAGAATTTAGCGTGAAGGAAAACACAGACATACTCTCTGTTAAATCATGCTGACAGATAGCAGACAGACAACACCCTGAACAAGAGCTCATCACACAGCACCGCAAGCACACTGCTATTTAATGTATGCTTTTCTTTTTGTCAGTTCTATACCTTGTGTTCATTTTAATCCCTTAAACTAACAACTGCTCCACTCTCTGAATATCTCATGTACCAACAGATCTGACAAGTATTTACATAAAATGTTCACTGTTAACATATCCTTCTTTATCCTTTAAGATGTGCTCATTATAATGGAAAGGTAATGGAAGTTTTGACACACACACACACACACACACACACACACACACACACACACACACACACACACACACACACACACACACACACACACACACACACACACACACACACACACACACACACACACACACACACTCACAGTCTCCTCCCTATCACTGTGTATGTGTTCTTTCTATTCATTGGCTAGTTTAACCTATCAAACCTCACATGTTTCCTATTAGTATCATTATATGCACACACTCACACAGAATGCCTACATTACGCAGGATGTATTCTAACTTCAGCTAAGCCTTTCTACTGTGTTTTTCCATAATACCATGTAGTTTATTTTCTTAAGCTAAAAATGAGCCGAACTTTAAATATAAATAATATGACACAGTATGTGTATACAATATATTAAGTGGAGATTTAACTGTCACGGCTTAGATCACAAAACTAGTTCTTACATGGAGATTAGGTGTATCTTAATATTAAACAAAAAAAATGTTATACTGTTCAAACTGAATAAGCGTACTGACAGATTGAACGTTAGCATGTTAATAAATGACTTCTTTAGACACAGCCGTAAAGGAGTTGTTGATAATATCTGACCTTACACTTTGAAACACTGTACAAAATGATTAAAAAACGTAATCAAATCACAAAGGACAGTATCATATACTAATAATATACAATAAATTACCAAATACTGTTAGCTTAACCAGATTTCTCCCTGTAATTCTTGAAAAATAGATTTTTAAATGAGTATACTATCAATTACTTACTATTATTAATTAGGCCAGAATGTACTCACCAAGTCTTCAAATGTGCATATATTTGTTTAGCATGGTATTAAAAAAGTTTGATTTGGCAAATGTACTGAAACATATATATTGTATCAGCAGTTTTACATAAAAATAGCGATATTCAGCCAGTAAGAGGAAAATATCCGGGCTATTTTCATGCCTAGAACTCCCTTTTATATGCAAGTTCAGAAGTAGTCAGGAAACCCTGGATGCCGTTTAACATGTGTTTATTTCTGGACTCTTTCTTGGCAAGTGTGTGTGAGAGACTGTGGAGGAGAAGGAGAGAGAGAGACAAAAAGGTGGGTGTGTGTTGGGCAAAACAGAAAGTTCTTTTTTCTCACTGGATCGGTTGGTCAAGTTTCTGAACCGGAGTCAAGGGAAAGAATGTAGTCCCATTAAAACACATTAAAGAGATGGAGGGGGGGGGGAGTTGACAGTGTGAGAAATCTCAATGAGGTTAACGCCGGATATAAATGAAAAAGGGGCAAGAGATAAAATACATTGACAAAAAGACAAAGAAAACGTGAGATTCGAGAGATATGCTAGAACAAAAACAGAAGGAGAAAGTGGGACAACTAGATCAGCAAAAGATGGGTAGAAAGATAAAGGGAAGGAGGATAGAAAGAGCCAGACAGAAGAGAGCCGCCGGCAGAGAGTCAGAGATGCTAGCAGCTGATATTAGCTAGCAGTGAGAGTTTCTGCATTCCTCACTCAAGGAAAACTCTTAAACATGTATGACTGACTCCTCTGTCAGATTTAGAAGCAAATGAGACTCCTTCGGAATCCAAATTAACAAGATAGAGATCTTCTATTTACTTGATACGCATATTTAGCAGGCTATCAACCGTTTTCATTTACAGTATTTGACACACAGGGTTAGCTATGTTTTTCCGGCATACACTACGACAGGAGGCTAGCATTTTATACCTCATCTAATTTGGACAGAGTTCAAACAAAAAAGATACATTTTGTGTTTCAGGGCACTTTTTATTGGTTATATATAGTGTCTATAGTTGCTAGCGCCACAGTGTAGGAAGCTAGCTATTTAGCAACATTAGCAACAAGCTTGCTAACTCGTAAGCTGAACAAATCAAACACAAGCCCACATATATTTGACAAATTCCCATTAGCCAACTTCATGTCAATCATGTCCAAGTAATAATGTTAACTCTCTCTCCACTAGAGATTGACATGGTAGTGATACTGCCAATAGATATCAATACTGAATAGCTCGATCGGCTACGTTTTGTCCAACTAAGCAAGAAAAAGTAGGTTAAGTTAAGCCTGTTGTGTCTTTGCAGCGAGCCAAATAGTTAAATGTTATGAATGTGTCCTTGTGGCAGCAACCAAAACTGAAAACAGCATTTTCTGCCATTTTTCCATTCCTTCATTTTGAAATACTTTTAGAGATTATCTGCCGATGAACTTATCGATTAGTAAACGAATGGTCTTATCATTGCAACGCTTTTTGTAAACTAAAACTATGAGTCTAAAGAGGCTAAAAGCTCTGTAGAGAGTTGGTGATATCTCCTCAAGTGACCCCTTTCTAATCAAAAATAGATTGATTAATGGAGAAATGTAACATTGACTAACTGGAAACCACTGCATCAGTAGCAAACAGTCAGACTGATTGAACAATTACACAACTCCCTGTTTCATCACAGCTGTAACCCTGCTATGGTTACATTTCCGCTGTAGATAAATTCCACCTGTTCATAGGGTTATTGTTATTATTGTTGTCATTAATTAACTGATATCTACCATAGGGTCCATGTGGAGCCAGTGTAAGTGACATTAGCGCAATCCGCCCAGCTAAAATAAAGATAAGATCTCCTTTCCGCAGCCCTCTTATCGGTGCACAGTGCAGAGTCCAGTCAGACTCGCCCTTTGACTGAACACAGAATAGCACTTTGGGAAACCACAAACATATATTTCATCATTGTGACACGTTTCATTGTCAGTGGGTGTTTAATTACTACCAGTTGGGTCCTGCACAAATTTTCCGTTTCCGTTTCATTCAGATTGTGATTAAGGCTCAAGTCAGAGTGGAAACAACTCTTATCACCTGATCTAACTATGACAAGACAATCCAACAGCCATATGTTTTCCTTTTTTCTCTTACAGGATAACATTCCTTCAATGACTTGAAGTTAATATTTGAACAACACTCCTTGGGCAAAAGTATGTTGCCGCCTAACATTCCAGCCATAACTGATGGGTGACACAAGTCCTTCATAAACTCTGCACATTAACACGCTGATAACAGTTTCTACAGTTGTGTGTTAGACTTTCTACAAGATTCTACACGATTATCCAGATCATCCCAAAGCTGCTGGATAGGTTTGAGGTCAGGGGTCACTGCAGGTCAGTCAAAAAGAAAACCAACTTGAAAAACAATGTCTTTATGGGCTTTCCTATTTGCAGTGTCATGTTGAAAAGTTGGTATTTCATACTGTAGCACTGAGATGTCTCTTTCATGAAACCAAAAAACACAAACTACAAACTGACCCCAGAGGTACACCAATGGGGGATAAGGGTATCAACATTTTGGGCCAAATAGATTTGAATCCTATGACTGATAATAACATTTATATGTGGAAAGTATACTCGTAATATCAGCGTTGGAAGAGGTAACTTTAAAGTAAAAGAAGTAATGCTACAATGTTAAACATACATACTAAAAAAAGTCCTGAATTGAGAGTCTTACTAAAGAAAAGTCAAATGTAGCATCAAAATCAGGTAATATCCCTAAAGTAAAAGTATTCACTCTATACAACTGCCTATTTCAGAATAATATATTTTAAATAACTGAATTATAATAAGCGCAGAATTAATGTGTGTATCTCTTTAATTGTGCAGTTATAGAAGAAGTGAAGCTTATTTCAACGTAGTAACCAAACTATCTTAACCTATACAAATAGATTACATTTTGTAATACAAATCTAAATAGCATAAAGTCAAAATACTCAAGACAAGTAGATGAAACTCAACATTTACTTTTAGAAGTAGTACTCAAATAAATGTACCATGTTACTTTCCACCATGGGTTAGTGGTAATGTGAATATTTACTTTATTCAACTGTTGGTTATAATTAAATGTAAAGTAGGTTGCTTGTATCCCAATTGTATAAGTCTTTGTAACATTCAAAGTCTTTACTAGCATGCATCACTTCGTGGTAACTAAGTATTGAACAGTATGCCAACTGTATCCTGCCTTCAGACAAAGTTACCAGAAAAGTATATTCAGTGATTCCTCCCTGCAGTTGCCCCACTAAAAACGCTTCAGGCAGACTAAAGTGTATTCTAAACCACAACCAAGTTAACTCCAGCAGCAGGAAACGACCACAAAGCGACGCAGGTTAAAATCCAACGAGCGTCCCGGTAAATGATCAGCCTCTTACCTGTTAGTGCTCCCTCTGCGGTGCTCTGTGAAGACTGACAGGCTGCTCTTTCTGCCTGACAGCAGTTTGCCTCGTGGGTGTGTCCTGGGCTACACCTGCCGCACACCGAGAACTGCGTAATGAGCGCGCGCGACGCCGATGACGCACGGAGGACAGTTGCCGCTTTACCTGTTGGAGGGAAGATAGGAGGGAAACGCGACGAAGGCAGAAAACAAATCTGGGGGAAGTCCACTGAGAAAGATATTCACTCTCTGTCTGCTCACCATTTATGGACATACAGTCTGCCAGTCTCACACTAAAATACAACTATTGAAAGACTTTCAGGAATGTTCTCCTCCCTCGTGGCCTTTTGATTTCCGGTTCTCCTTTCTGATTATGCCACTTATGGTGTTCTTGTTCTTTGTACCAGTTTTCTGTCCATCCATCTATCTATCTATCCATCGATCTATCTATCTATCTATCTATCTATCTATCTATCTATCTATCTATCTATCTATATATCTATATATATATAACTATCTATCTATCCATCTATCTATCTATCCATCGATCTATCTATATATATATATCTATATATATATATCTATATATATATCTATCTATATATATATAGATAGATATATATCTATCTATATATATATATAGATAGATATATATATCCATCCAGTGGGAATGCAGCAAAATAAAAAGACCAAAAGTTAGAAGAAAAGTAATTTTTTCATATTAAAGCAATCCTTTTAACCAAGGACATTTTCCAAATCCAAGCAAGATAGATAAGAAATCAAATACAGTTTTTGTTTTATTTTTAGCATAGTATCAAATCAATAACAGACATGCTTATTGATTACCCTAAATGTGTTCGCAAAATGTATAAAAATATATATTTTAAAATATATAAAATAGTAGTGGATAAAGGCATGGTAGTTGATTTTTTGTGTCCACTTTGTCCCAGCCTAAGATGTTTTTACAACAACTTCTGCATGGATTTTATGGAGTATTCCTGTTCCCCCCGGGAGAAATTGTAATAACTTCAGTACTTCAAGTAAAGCATCAATATCACACTTTTTAGTAGAGTAGAAGAGACAGTAAATGGTGTATTTAATTGACATTCTCTATATTTGTCTGTCTGTTTATGTATTTATTTACTGTTTATACTTATTTTATATTTTATATCTCATGTGCAATTCCTTAACATTGTGCTGCAACAAAAAAAAATTCCAATTAAGGACCAATTAACCATTAAGGTAAATCTAATCTAAAAAATTGTTATCTTTTGGACCATAAACCAATGCTATCTCTTTTGTGTTAAGTGCAGGCTTGATGTGATATCTGAACACTAAAATGTCAACTTTGATCTCAATATAATCACAGTGGGGGGGACGTTTTACAAGACTGGAGCCAGATTTCCAGCAGTCTGAACTCACAGTGGCACACAGCAGACACACTGGCAGCTCTTATGATGTTTGGAGTCTCCGGCTGTGGGTTATCCAGCCGCTGGTTGCCATAGGAGTCAGACTGAACGTCTTGTGTTGAGAAACCCTGAACACCACACCTCACATTCCTCTGTTCTGAGCAAACACCCATTCTGCTGCCGACACTATGGACTCACCTTACACATGCATTCAAATGACCTTAGTAATGTCCCATTCATATACAAATAACTTTGTTACGACAAACCTGTTTGTGTAAAGGCTAATGCATTGGAATTTAAATAAGTTACTGTCAGGTTGGTGTCAGGTTGCTGGCAGGTCAGACTCACCTGAGGAGGGTTTTTGAAAACAAATGGCCCCAATATCTGATAAAAGTGCAGCACGTGGCACGTTATCATGTACAGACCAATGAACACGCCCGCTAGTGGGCTTGATAGGAATGAGATGTAAGCAGCATGTAAGCACCTCTTGTTGTGAAACTGTTACAAAGACATCATTACAAATATGTTTTTTTGAAATCCAGTCTTACTCACATTACACTTCACAAACTTTTATGCAACAACATTTCAGTTCACATGGGATAGGAGTCATCCTCAAAATGAAACAATCAAACTTAAAAAGGATTAACCCATTTTGGAAATAATGATGGTGTGTTTACGTGGTGTAGTTGGCCTTTACCAAAACTATTTGATAATTAAAAATGCCCTATTGTGCTTTTGGGGGTTTCTCTGTCCTGTAGTGTGTTATATAATGTTCTTTGCATGTAAATGGGCTAAAATCCCAAAGTTCCCTCCAGAGGGAGCTTCAGTAAAATGAATAGAAAATGTATTTGTTTTTTTAATATCTCTCTCAATGTGTTGCGTGCAGGACTTCTGCCTCCAAGAAAGTCCAAGGTGCGATGTCCATGACACCAATAGGAAACTTCTTCCTGCTATAATGTGTCTGGGAAAAACATTGTGTAACAAAGTAAGGAATAACAAAGTCCCCCTGCTACTGCCAGTCATTGTGTTTCCCTCTGTAAGTGATATAAACACATTTCCTATATTCACAAGATTTTAAAACGACTCTGCTTCGGTTAGTAATCATTCAAGTTTGGGTTGTCTTGTGAATTTCTTTTTTTTCAAAACATTTATTAGTTAAACAATTTCTGCATCACAAATACATTGTCTTTGAAATCACTGCCAGTGTTTGCAATTTCATTTCTAGTGAGTAAAAAAATATGCTTTGTTTAATCCACAGAACTTTGAATTCAATTCTAATAAAGATTAGAATATGTCAAGATGTATTTAGGTGAATTGTGTCTATCATGACCATAAAAGACGTACAGTAGAATCGAGGATTTGGATATTTCACTCAGTTGTGATATGAAACTGTGAGACACCCCTCAGGCGACAAACGGGAAATAAAAGTGAAAGCTGCGTGATGAGTAGTTAATTTCCTTCTTTCCCACATGTATTTCCTTTGGCTGTGAATCAGCAGAGCGCTGTGTTGCGTCACCTGGATGTTCAGGGTGTGTGTAGCTCAACATGCTGCAGAGGGGAGCGTCCGGGTGACAACCTTTACTCACACATCGATAACTCACACTGCTGCAACAAGAGGTGATCTTCTTGCTCAGTTATGCTGCTCATTAATACGTCAACAGAATTGTTATATACGCTTTCTTGATTTATGTAGACAAGCTTTTGTATGATTAGTCTCTTTTTCCATTGTGCAAGTCTCTCTCTTTTTTTGTATCTGTATTGTTAACAATAAACTGTGTGCAAATGCAAATACATTTCTTTAGTCTCTCTTGACTAATCAATTTTTTTATTTTCCTTAAGGGAATTTACTTTGTACAAAGAAATAACAAACAACTCACCATGACAACGCTTTTGTGTGGATATAATTACTGTTGATTAATGCCATTGTGGGGAAAACATTTCAAAGTTTGTGGACAGATGTAATATTCAGAAAAACGAATTGTTTGTTAAAAACTCAGAATATCTGAAAGTTATACATGTTGGGGAAACTTTTATGATTTTCTTTTCTTTTTTATCTAACGTACAATGACCCCAAAACATTGTTAATTCACATTTTCTCCACCATTGCAGTGTTTTATACGGAAAATACTTTTTAAAAACTGGGAATTTCATCTGCATACCGAATCCAAAATGGTAAAGAACTGTGTGGTTATTGCAAACAAAGTTATCCAAATACTCAAAGTTTGATTTACCCAAATGACAAACTTGTGTGGTATTGTGATCATTTTGTAATGTTCAGGTACTCCTAGTACGGCTGATTTAATTAATGTTGTTGTGGAAATTCCACACTTAATCACCTACTGGTAAGAAAAGAACAAAATAACACAGGCCGAACATCAAGACATCATGCTGAAAGATGATCTAAGACTCAGGTGGAAAACATCCAGCGGCCACACCTGATGGTTTGTGGCAGAACATGTTGCGTTTCAGTCTAAAAACACTTAGACTGAACAGGTTTCAGAGGAAATGTTCCAACGTGCTGGAAAGAGCTGCCAGATGAGTTCAGACCGTCACCATTTACTGAGTTATTCTGATCTTTTTTTCCTTTTTAAAAACAAAATAAGTCATATACACTTCTGACTCTCAACTTATAATAACTTTAAAGCTTTCAAAATCAAGTCAAAGTATAGGAAAAGATTAAGGACGGTTTTTCCTTTGCGTATTTTGAGAAAGGCTCCGGTCGATGTTAAAAAGGCCATAGCTACACCAATTATTCACCTAGTTGGGAAGAAAATACTGAATATGTATGAAAAAAGAAGTGAAACAAATGAACAACTCTAGTGTTTGTACAAAATGTTAACACCATTAATTTAGATTAAATGTCAACATAACATACCTCAATTACACATTTACTCCCCAAAACCACAGAAGATGACATGCTATGATCCAATAAGAGATTATAAAGTTTATTTCACGTGTTCCTGGTTTCATACTGTAAGCAAAAGTCTTGCTCTTTTTTTTCATACACGATTTAATGGGAGTGAAAGTGAGCCCCAGGCTAGGGTGGACATGAAGCTCTCCTGGCAGAATCATCCAGCCAACAAAAGATAAACAACTGTGTTATGAAAAATCTGGTTACCGGTATGTAATAAAAGTCAACAAAACAAGCCAGTAGTCACAGTTTTAAATGCTTGTTTAACGTTAAAAAAAAAAAACTAATTTGAGACCAAATGTACTTTATTGGGCAGGAGGTGAAGGTACAACACGTGTTGGACATTGATCAAGTGCTCATGATCTTCTTCTGTAACTTGTAGCAGCTTAAAAATAAAAGGGTTTTCAGAAAGCCTGTACTTCACAGATGGAGGGTTTGGCCACTGTCAGATGAACATGTTTTGTAAAGTCGACAAGTTCACAAACAGCTCGTTAAATGTGTTCATGTACTAAATATCGGGAGATTGACGTCAGTACCTGTAGCCCACAGGCAGATGCCTATGAAAACACTTTGATGAGTCAAAATGAAAATTCCTCCTAAATTGAATAGAGCGTTTCCTGTAGGGATCATCAGGACAGGAGGCAATCCCTTCAACTGAAGAACCAGTTCCTCTTCAGGCATGAAACCTGTACAGGCGTGTTACATCTGGGTTGAAACACAAAGACTGTAAACACATGGCTTATTATTCAAATTAGTGTCAGACTTATATCGTTTGTGAAGTAAACAT